AAGATCTTTAAAGAAGTTTTCGTCACTCTCTGTGCTTTTTAAACCTAACATGATTCGTATTGTTTTTTTTTTGTTTTATCAGAATTTTGTCCAAATTATAAAGACTAAATAAAGACTAAATAAATAAAGACTAAATCCCAACTTTTCAAGACCATTTTGAAATTCAATACCAAATGTACCTGACTTTCCCGTTTTCCGACTACTAGACACCGTAGTAGACAGGTAGATTTTACCTTGCAAATATAAAACAAAACCTTCCAATAAACAACTTCCTAAAATTATGGATTAATAAAGTTATGAATTAAGATTATAGTTATGGATTAAAATTTTGATTAATAAATTGAATCATTGTAATGAAACTACAAAAGTATAACAAATATATGTTTAAAAAAATACAATAAGTGATGGCATTTTAATTAATTCATTGCTTAATATTAAATAAGTCAGTAAACTCCAATTCCGGGGAATTCCTCCAAAGTTGGCAGCACTACTCCCAACTACCAAGTTGTTCTGGAAACAGTCGCTAGCGCTTGATGCAGCAGCGGTGTGCGCCGTAACTACACATTACCCCTAGCGGTCGGTGCCGGAATATACGCTAGCCGCAGCACAGCTGACAGTCTATATTTATTTCTTTTTGTCTATGGTTATAGTAACCAACCATGGGAAGGTATAAATCTAACATTGTACAAATCAGACCTCAGGTCTTTTCCCTACGTGAATTTAAACATTTAGAAATTTATTATGGGTTAATTGGTCGCCATGGCATTATTTACGAGATAAAAATAAATACCCCCGCCGCAGCGAATTTTATTTCCATGTTATTTTCATGATTTTGGCTTTAACTAACTGTTTGGTTATATAACTAGGAGACTAGTTATTAATCATTAGATAATTTTATTTGGTTAAACGAGGTTTTAAATGACTGATAAGTAACAAGGAACAAATTGTAAACAAAACACGACCTCTACATTGCGTCGTACAGAACTAACAATAAAGTTGGCTTCAGCTGTTCCATAAGGATGATAAATCTACTTAGAGAGTATGTTTAATCTATGCTGCAAGTAAAAAAAATTGTTTACTTGAACCTGACGTATCAATGAATTGAATAGGCTACTGTATCGGTTTAACCGGAATACACTCGGCGGAAATGACATCTCTTTAACCGGACAATTTTTATCAGCACATTGGTTTAACTGGACTAGATCGGCAGGAAGTGGGCAGTACTAAAACGACTGTTCTCATGGGAAAGATTTGAGACCATTGATCACGTGTCTAAATACAATGCTCTCATAAATTTAAGTCGAATATCACAGTAAACAGTGCGTTTTATCGAGTTTTTTAGGGGACGTCGGTTTAACTGGAAAACCCAATATCCTGGCTTAGGTCCTAATTAGGGTTATGGACTGGCTTAGGTCCCGAGGAGTCCGGATAAGAGGGAGTCTACTGTAGACATAGTGAACCAGAAGTACACCTATCATTGATTTAGGATACTTCAAGTAGACAATTCATTTACGTGAACCAAATGTACGATTAAGTTTAGATACTACAAGTAAACAATTTGTTTACGTGAACCAGAATTGAGCATTAACTTTAGAACCTGTAAATAGATATTCCATTTAAGTAAACCAGTCGTACCATTGGCTTTAGATACTGCAAATAGGCATTCTGTTTATGTGAAACAAATATACACCGTGTACCCAAAGAAACTGAACAATTTAATTTACTTATAAAAAGTTTATTAACAATCACACAATAAACTAATTACATTTTAACTGACACAAATATTCCTAAGTTTTGTTTGATATCATATGTTGTGTTAGTGATTTTCAATATGGTTGCCATTGTTGGCAAAAAGATAGTTAATACTGCTGTCCAATTCAGCCTGCTGCATTTATTCTTTGCCTCAATTCTCGAACTTTGGAGACTTCTGTCTTATAATCATGGTCCTTGATGAAACCCCCGACAAAAAAATCACAGGGTGTTAGGTCTGGGGACCGTGGGGGCCAGAGTATTGGACCGTCACGTCCAATCCATCGAAAGGGGAATGTGTGGTCGGGTGATTCTCTTACAAATAATTTCCAGGGCGGTGGGGCACTGTCTTGTTGGAAAATCATGTTATAAATAAAATAAATAAGTAAATAAAAATGCCTTTATTTACGAGCGTCTTTCAGTACAAGAACTGTTTTACAAAGTAACTCATGTCAATATAACTAACTTAAAAATATATAGAAATTAGTATACAAAACAATGTGTATGAAAAAAACAAAATTATAAGCTCTTTACAATATTTTACATCTTCTTTACTTTTTGTGCGTTCATGTGCCTGCTTAATGACTGGGCAATGTTTTTAAATTTCAAGTTTCAAGCGACATCAATGAATCAGCTGATAGTTACAATTGATATTGAACAAATCTCTATGAGCTCAGTTATCATATGATCAACTTTCAAAATAGATTAGGTCCTGAACGTATGCCTGGGCGTATTATATAACAATTTAAAATTGTTCATTTGTTTTTGGGACACGGTTTATCATTGACATTGGATACTGCAAGTAGAATTTACGAGAACCAGATGAAACATTTAAGACTTTAGATACTGCAAATTGACATTCCATTTATGAGAACCAAATATGCCATTGACATTGGATACTGCAAGTAGGCCCACATATCTTATTTACGAAAAACAGATGTAGCATTAACTTTAGAAAAGTATTGGATTAATATGCTAGCTCCGCTGAATATTGCAAGCAGGCAACTGCATTGTAAACCTAATGTAATTAACATGCTATTTAGAGTAATACGGCAACAATAGACCAATAGCCTATATATATTTTATAATATACCTAAACAAAACTTGTTTTTGAGTAAAAAAAATTTAAGTGGGCCTTGTGAAGGGACCACAAAATTAGGAACCATCATGTAATAGGTCTTACCATGATAACAATTTTATTAATAGCAATTCCCTTATATAAAATCAAATAATAGTAACAGCTAAAATTTTGTCCAAACCTGTGTTGAAATCAGCTGTAGCTGGGTAGTAGTTGTAGTTCTCCCCTAGTAATCAAAAAGTCGTCAGTTCGATCCTGACGAAAGCTTTTTGATGGTTCGAAACTCGGCCCAGCTGTTCTAGATGATAATAATGGTCCTGGCTAATGAAACAGCTAGCGTCAGTCAGTAACAAAACTACACAAACAGTTTCAGCAATCTCAATCCGACACATACTTTTTCTCATTAGCTTGTCAACAACCTTTATCATGGATTAGTGGTGGGACTATCCTATTTTATAGGAGAAATCAGAAAGGTTGCAATAACTTTTGAATGGTAACTTTTACAGCAATGATAAAACTATTTTGTTGCACTAGTTTGTTTAGAATTATAAGGACTAAAACATACTAATTTTAAAAAAAACCAGTTTTTTCAAAAATCAAATAGGCGTAGGCTATTCCGCTTTTTATGAGCTTTTGTGGGAAAATGACATAAGTTACAATAACTTTTGAACCGTAATTTTACAGCGATGGGAGTGGTATCCTTTTGTTCAGAATTCAAAGGGCTATAGCATACTACATTTTTATAAAAATCGTTTTGGCGATTTTTTTGAAAATTATATTTTTCCTTTGTGACCTACATAAATAGCTGTTTAGATCAAAAGATTTTCGGCGGAGCAGTTGGACAATCAATAGGCCTAATTACAATATACTGGGATATTTATAAAATACCCCCGCCGCAGCAAACCTGCAGACTTAGCGAATTTCCATTTGCCTGATGTCAAATGCTCGTTCATTTTCAAGATGAGCTCGTTCGTATGGCTCAATCACGTCCTGGTTGAAGTTCGTTCGCTACGCTAACTCGCATCCAGGTTGAAGTTTGTTCGCTACGATCACTCACCTTTTGGTTGCAAATTAGCTGTTGTCATAAATTTAAAAAGAATAACAGTGCTGCACCCTGTTGTTAAACCTATTAACTTTGTAATGCTATTGAACATCACAGAATCAAATTGTTTAGTTGAACCAGCTGTTAAGATTCTTTAATTCCATTTAAGTATGAGTACTCATAAGGTTAACATGGGAAACTCCAGAACCACTGGGGCGGAGCCCTTTTGACGGATCTGCACCAAACTTCACACAAACCATCATTGAATAATGCTTAATAATGCCTGGAAGTTTCATTACAATCTATCGAGCAGTTTCGGAGTCCATATAGGACAAACAAACAAACAAACATACATTGGATTTGATATATATTATAGACTAGCTGGCCCGACAGACAACGTCCTGTCCTAAAGTGGTTTTATGTCAAATACTCGTTCATTTTCAAGATGTGCTCATTCGCATGGCTCAATCACGTCCTGGTTGAAGTTCGTTTGCTACGCTCACTCACCTTTCGGTTGCGAATTAGCTGTTGTCATAAATTTACAAAAATAATAGTGCTGCACCCTGTTGGTAAACCTATTAACTTTTTAATGCTATTTAACATCACAGAATTAAATTGTTTAGTTGAACCAGCTGTTAAGATTCTTAAATTCCATTTAAATATAGAGTACTCATAAGGTTAACATGGGAAACTCCAGAGTCACTGGAGAGGAGCCCTCTTGACGGATCTGCACCAAACTTGACACAAACCATCCTTGAATAATGCTTAATAATGCCTGATATTTTCATTACAATCTGTCGAGCGGTTTCAGATTCCATAAAGGACAAACAAACAAACATACATTGGATTTTATATATATAGATTTTGAAATCTTGGATTAGTTGCAAATCACAATTAGATCCTAGTAATGATGTTAGATTAGAACATCATTTTTGAGCTTTCAAAAATGATGTTCTAATTCAAAAATGATGTTCTAATCTAACAGCAGATTAATCTTAAGTTGTACACAACACAATTAAAAAAAAATATCATTTCTGCTTCTGTATAAACAAGGTAGATTTGTCTCCATGATTGTTATGTTTACAGTTACTTATTCCATATTTGTCTCTTACATAAATATATATTTTTCAGGCCTGGTCGACTGAAGAACCTACCTATTGGCTATTGGTGCATCTCTGATTGAACGTCCTCAGACCTCACCGTAATTATCACCACAATGCACTAGCATAATTAAATCAAAATTAGTATCTTAAGGATTTTATGTGTTTCAATAGTGCTTCATGAGTTTGTTGTCTCCATATCCTTAAAATTAAATATATAAATGGTTTTAATTAGATTTCACACAGTAAATATAAGCCAATTGAATTGAAAATAACTTTATTCATAAATCATACAAGTATGTACATTGAATGGCGTCAAAATTCTTAAACTACTTAAACTAACAACATAATATCAGCTGTACAGTTCATCAAAATTATACAGTACTTTTTGTGTTAAGTATATTTTAAGCTGGGTTTTAAATTTTTTTACAATCCTCAATTTTCCTCAACCACTCTGGAAGCCCTTCCAAAAATTTTCTTCCAGCACATGACGGTTTTTTGTTATAAAATATAAAATTCCAATCTATGGGCACCAACAGCAATTTTGTTTCTATGCCGGGTGCCATATTCATGGTTATCCCCTAGTTTTGGTAACATACTTTCAGACAAAAGATTTTTAGTTAAAAGAACGGTATGGAAAACATAAATGCCATGCCGTTCACAGTCATTATACCCATGGCTAAGAAATGATCACGTACGGAAACATCCCGTCTCCAACTCCTTTTTTTCCTATTTACTTAGCAATATCAGCTTTTCTAGAGAAATGTGTTATCTTACCACATCAATATTGATGTTGGTTTGTGTGAAAAGTAGCCTAATAATTCAATTTTGTTTGCATTTAACTATAATTTAAGATTCAGATTTTATTTTGTATTTTTATATAATTCTATTTGAAACTGTTAGATCATTTATGAATAAAATATTACGAGGCTTTCCCTTTTTAGTTATCCATTTACTTTTAGATGCTGAAGTATATTCCATCTGGACCAGCTGACGCCGTTTACATAGTTCAATGAGCCAGTCACAGAATGCGCTAATGTTTCTACCTTTCAGTTAGACTTGATTGTGTTGCAGTAATGCACATTAGTGGTTCGATTCAACTAGGTCAATTTCAAATTAAAACTGGCCACAACTTTAACATAGTGATAGAATGTCTAGTTGTTTTAATAGTCAAAGGTATAACATATTAGTTAGCCTTGTTTTGTTTTAAACTCTACAGTAGTGTGTTATTTTTTTATAAATGCCATATCATACACTAGAGTATATTTTGAAGTCAATTAAAATTTTAACCCTTGAGAAGAAGGTAAAAAGATTATTTGGCCTAGTATTAAAGATTTTCCGATTTGTAAAAACTAGGTATTTTGGGACAAATTGCTAAAAAAAATATTACTTGTGTTATATTTCTGTTTGTAAATTGCTTTTTTTAACCCATTTCAATCCCAAACATGTTTAACCCCTCTTAGTGTGGTGTGATTATACATTTTTATGGTTAGAGGGGACCCTTGCGCAGATTGCACATTTTTATAGGATTTGATTCCGAGCCAAAATTAATAACACAGTAGTATTTTTACTTTTTAAAGTTTCTATTTGTTTGAGACAGTTATTAGGTTATCAAATATAACCTAATACCTAATATATGACCTTAGGTACGCTACTACTAATTTTCAATAAATTAATTTTGCTGCTTTTAGATCTACAACATGAAGAGCGAATTTCCTACCTCAATCAGGTCCATTTTCATAAACTTTTTTGTCTCTTGTTTAATCTGACTGTGGTTAAAAATTCAACTAAAAAATCAGCTGTTCTCAATCAAAACGTTATAAAGAAAGTTTGTCAGCATCACTGAATCTTAGAAAGCAAAATCTAAAACTAATGTTATTAAAAATAATGAAGGCATTGATTCAGCTTATCAAGACCGAATTATTATCTCTTGCATAGTCAAATTTCACCAGAAATAGCTTTAACCCCCCCCCCCTCAATCACACTTAAATTTCAAATTTTGTAAAACCCCGTCTTATTTCACATCTACACCATACCATATACCATATAGGGGAGTCCTCTGCCAAATTTGATTATTCTAGGTCAAGTTATATAAATATTAAATTAATTCTTACTTGTAAAATGTTACAGATAAACAACAAAACAAACATTTTAGTTTCGAAACAAAGTTATTATTAATTTACGAAGATCATAATGTTTTTGAACGTTTGTTGAGCGCAAGTTAATAACCTTTTCCTACAGTTACCTGACAAAGCGGGCTTCCTTGCATTGATTATAGTACGTAAATTAGCTAATTGCTGCATTTACTTACTTTTAACACACATCTTTTTTTGTTGCACTCCAGTACTCCATCCAAACAACACAAAACCGTGTGCTTTTGTAAGGCACGCTACATGTACGCTTAAAAATAAGTTGGCAACACTTGAAGTTACTACTAGGCCTATTACGATCAGCTGGTCTGCAGTGTTTCCCATTTTGTTCAACGCTTGGATTTAACCTAACCTATAACATGTTGTTTAGTGTTGGAAAGACTAATTATTTCTATGCTTTATAGTAACTGTAGGAAAAATAAAATGTGTAAGGCGAGTGCAAAGTACTTTTGCTGCACTCAAGAAACTTTCCACGCTCGCCTGTGACTCGTGTGTAAACATTTCGTTCACGTGCAGCAAAGTGCCACTTCGCACACTAGTTACACAAATAACTAATTTCTACCCTGCATGGAAATGATCAGATTTCCGTACCTGTATATAATATGTAAAATAGCTCATTCCCACTTGCTAAATCAGCTGATTTCCCAGTTAACGTTTCTAGACTAACCACAGCAGCTGCGGATCCGGTATGTTTAGTTAACAATCTGTAATAAATAACATACCAGTAATCTTTGAAAAGTAAATATAACTTAACCTAAATGACATTTTACATACATCTAAAAAGTTAATCTGCGTTAACCATGATAATATAATTTCAAAACCCTATAACATCCTGTTCCCATGACCAGATCTTGCCTATCTTTTTAATGTATTAAATTAAATTCCCTGCTCAATTCTTTGTTAATACAGTAATTATTTATTGGGAATGGAATGGGTTAAATACACTGTGTTGTGAAATTATGCCACTTTATATAGCTCTAAACCGTGAACTGTGATATTTTATTTTAACCCTTTTAAAAATCACTTTCTTCAATTAGTTGTTATTTAGGTACAGTTTTTGTAATATTAAAAAACATAACTAATTTGGTTAAAGCTGGTAATCTTATCCGTATGAGAGGGGATTATAAGTCTTAGACTGTACTATTGTGTATTAAATGAGATCAAATTACATACTGTATACTTGCTTGTGGAATAATATCTATCTAAAGACTGAGTCTAAAGGTAAAAATTTTAAATTTGGTTTGCATTGAGTTTGTGTAATCCATAATGTAGCCTATTAGATTATCACTATACAGTTTTTAGTCAGTGTATTTGATTGTAAATTATATTAGATAGGCCTATAAAAGTTTTATAAATATTATTTATGCATGCCAGTGTTGTAACATTGCTTCAAAATATTATCAATTTTATTTTTTGAGATTATTTCATAATGTACCACTTTGTGTTTTGGATTGAAGTGCATGTTTATTTAATCATTTATGTTATTGTGTCAAGTTGTATAATCAGTCCTGTTATATAAATTGTACCCTGATGAGATTATGAGAATAACAGTTATATGGTTTTGTGTTGGACAGTTACCCATTATTTTCTCTTGATAACAGAATGGCCTAATATGTATTAAATGAATGTATAATTGTTGTTTTTTTCTTTTGTTGTGATTTGGTGGAATCCCTTGTTCAGTTTTTTAAGTCTTTTTAAACTTATGCTCTGTTTCTCATTTGCTATTCGTTGTAATTATCTGCCAAATAATATGTTCTGTGTGGTGATTAACCAAAGAAACATTCTAGTTTCTATTATTAAACAGGCCTATCACCAGTATGACTTTTTTATCTAAGCTGCACCCATGTAAATGTTAAAGTAATAGGTAGCATCTGTGCTGTTTAAATGATTAACTTATTTAACTGTTCTACAGGATCTCCTTTTAATATTTGATATTCTTTTATATATACAAAATGTAACTGATAAATCAATTTACAATATTTTTTGTGGATATTGAATATAAATCAACTAACTGTTTTGTGCTCTGCTTTCAGCATATCTTACCACTTTTATATATGTTTTATATGAGTATAATATAAATATGTATCCTCTGTAAATAAGCAAAAACCAATTTTTAGATGTAATGTTTATGTACATTTTGTAAAGAGAGGAGGGTTTGTAGAGTCCCCTTACCGGCTTTCCTTACTATAGAGGCTGTCTTCGGACATTTTTGATGTTTGGACGTAAAATTCAACTATATGTATTTGTTAGGAGCCCTCTTATGATGTATCATATGAATATTGAAGAGTATTATGTTTTAATACATGGTTTTTATAACGAAAACAGTCTTTGTATTCCCTATTCCCCTGTAGCTGGTGATGTTTCAAAAGGGAATCAATAACAAGTGAATTTTGAATACGTGAAATCAGTCACTAAATTCAATGGTGTTATCAATTTAAAAAATGTAAAATGAGTAAAAAAAATATTTTATGTTTCATTTGGAAAAGTTATCCAACTCATCTTGGAAATCATTTTTCATTTTTTAAAGTGTAAAATTATTTTTGTGCTTTGGAATTTTTTCATTTCAATGGTATCTTTTTTAGCTTAGTAATTAGGCTATTAGAAGTTAGCCTACAAAATAATGAAAAAGTACTTACCGTACCCTGTCTTCTAACAAGGGAAAATCAAATATTCTGTGTTACTCAAATACTGTGGTTGTGTTATGTGAGTTTCCAGACAGGTTGACAATCAGTTCAGTGGAGGATAAGGATAAATACTTGTCATGTATGGGAAGGTGGGCTGTGTATCCATCCTTCATGGGAAACTATTACCATTACCTCTGCAGCTTCAGTGACTAGGCCTGAACACATAGATATACTGTATTTTCAATTGTGACAGCCGAAATCACAACCTTTGGTCAGTAACATTCCTGCACCCCAGTGTTTAACAACTAACTTTTAAAACTCAGTAAATGATACAATCTTTATTGTTGATAAGTTTAATCTCTGATGATGAAAGATCATAGTAGGCTACTTGGGCATGATACTAGATTCTCTTTCTGTGGACCTTTGAGGCAAGAAATTGGACAGGTCGAGGTCAGGAATAATCTATATGGTTTATCTAATTCAGCTACGGCTATTCAGGAACTGTCAATGTTATGGATACGTTACTTCGCTTCATACTTTTTTACTTGTGTCTTAAATTGAGAGAAATTTTGAATTTGAGAGGTTTTTTGATTTAGAAGTTAACTGTAGGAAAACCATGAGCTCCCAAGTTCGCCTCAATAAAGAAGGTTTTCATTCATTCAATTTGTGGTAATTTTTCTGGTATGGTCTTAAATAATTTTATTTTATTGCAATAATAGGGTCAATCAAAACATAAACTCAGGGAAAAGTAAACAAACTACAAATTAAAACAAACTGCTGATGCTTCTTCAATATGTTAAATCTTTATCAAATAAAGCCCTAGGTCTAATTGAGGTTTGTGCCCTTAGAAGAGGGATTATCGGAAACTGATATTTTTCAGGAAAGTTCTCGTCAAGACCTTTTATTTAAGTATGTAGTTGATAGGTATGCGGCTTATGGGTTTAAACATTTTCGTGATCCTTATTAGAGTTATAAATTCAAATTTATTTTAAAAATTGAAATCTTACTACACATTTAAAAACATTTAAGTACTTTATACTTTTATACTTTCTTATTATATGGCGACCATACAAAGTAGGTATTTTAAGCCAAGTATGAATGGAGATGAGTGTAGGATGAGTGGCGCGATCTTGTAGTCTTGTTAGTGAATAAGGCTGACATTCCTTAGACACAGCTGTTAATTGATAGCCCGTACAGCTAATGGCAACTAAGGGACCTACAGTTTATAGTGGAATCCGAACCACATTTTTGCCTTGGTGTATACGAATTGGTCTGGATAGTCGTAGTACTCACTCGTGCGGACGTAAATCCACACCTGGGAGTATCACATCCACAGTGCATGCCTATAAATATCCACAATTCGTGACCTCCTAGTAGCTGGATTACATTACAACGCCACCCGTCCCAGTCAACTAACTAATAGATGAATAAATAAATATGGCAGCTGATGCATATTTTTTATCTATCTATCCATCTATTATTACTGTTATAAATAAGAGGTGTCCTCTGTGTGTTTGTATTAGATAAACTCAAAAACTAATGAACCAACTGGGCTCAAATTGTACACAAATAAAGCTACAGCTCCAATGATGCATTTACAACTATTCCCGCTTCGATATTGACCCAGGACTCTGCCTCGCGGGCTTTCAAAGTTCTGATGTGAGAGTTTGAAAATAAATATTGATTGGCAAAAATAGTAAATAAGCAGAACTGGCAAGCACTTGATTTCACAAATTCCACACGAATCGCTGTTATTTCTTAGGGAATAAGTAATTGGCAGGTAAGAGAATGATTAAATAAGTTAGATTCTATAACCTTTGCCGTATCATCCTCGGCTCTTACTGTGTCCGTAGTTTTATGAGAATTATTTTACAGATATATTTTTGTGGACACAGTAATAAAATTACAAAATTGTTAGGTTTAGGACTATTGCGGTTGATTTTCGTTTACATGACAAGCTATTCAAAGATTAAACTAAACAATATGTTATTATGATTTAACCTTAAAATCAATCATTGATTTTTGATACTGCAACGAGTATAAGTGTACATTTTGTGTTCTATTGTTATATCTCAAGCCTTTTATGATCAGTGTTTCATGTGAGCTTTTGTGCAGGAAAAATATTTATTCTTATTTTTACTACACTTGATCATGACATATTTGTTTTGTTCTTATTTTGTTAACACTTCTGTGAATAATGTCCTCATTGAACCAGAAATAAACCCTGTAAAAAAAATACATTGCGGTTAATTTAGTGGTGTTGCTTTGCTACATGAAACATTTTAAATCTAAGCTGTTTGCAGTCGACTTTTGGTTCTAAGATTCCTGGAAAATGTGTTTATTTTATTTTTATATAATCGATGGTAAGAGTGTAGATTTGAGGGTCTTGAATTTTGGAACGGGCAATGTGGCTCTTACTTACAATACGATTTGCAAAATTTAACCAGAGTTTTGTAAATTTTTTGTTGATAAAATATTAAAATTAATGACATTTGTGTAGTAATTAATTTACGACAAGGATATGTTTGATAAACTAAAACCTGAGTTAACAAAAGTGGGCTGTTATCAAGTTAAGTGGTACAGTTGAATTTCGTTTTAAAATTAAATTGAGTATGAAGCAACCATTTTCAAGGAACCAAATTTGTCTCTCACTTCTGTACCCTGACCCCGTTTGCAAGGTTTGGTATAGCTGTATTTCAATATTTTAACTGTGATTACATACAACCATATAACTGAATTTGTGTCCTTAGGAGATGGTTTATCGAAAAACTGATATTTAACGGGGAAGTTTGCAAGTTCTAATCGAGTATGGGGTGCGGCTTACGGGATTCTCTAAGCGGTCCTTCGTGATACTGAGCTTCATACCTATATCCTGAGCCTATATCGATGGGTGTGTGCGTCGTGCGTGTGCCTATAGCATTAGTAGATATAGTATAGTAGTAGATATAGTAGATTTATTTTTTCTCATACATGTCCGGTTCAATGAGTTGCACCATAGACTGGGAGTATGTCTGATCACAGACAATAGACCAATATTCCATTCTTTTATATGTCTATGGTGATATCTGTGGTTTTCACGTTCAGAATAAACGTCACTGTACCAAAGTATTCAATCTATTCAACAACAAACACTTGGCCGGATGCGTCAGCGCTATTCCCTACCATGAGTCAAGCCCTAATTTGACCTTGCCCCAGGAAGTGCCTGTTACAGAGGAATGTCCTCGGCATGTTGGACTCATAATTAGGCGAGCTGCCATTTAACTTTACCACTACACCCCCACCAACCACTCTCCATCTCTAGACCTCTTTGTTTGAATGCGTTCAAAGCGTCTGGCGTGCATTAGAAAGTTTATGTTTCTGAGAATTTTCAACCACTTTAAAATGCTTTTCGACAGCATTGTTGTAGCCTACATTGTAAATCTTTGGAAGTGAAACTGAAGTTTGGCCAATATTGGAGTACGTAGGCCTACAGTGAAAAGCACTCAAGATTCGCAGTTAACGATTTTTTGGTTGGTAATAATTTATTTGAAGATTTTATTTAGGAAAACGTACATTTAAAAATGGTAATTTAAAGTTATTTTTTATTTAAGTTGAAACTTTACTCGAATAAATTAAATAACTTCTTGATCAGCATTGTTATTATATTTACGCTTACGGTAAATATACAAAAAAGATGGTAAGTGGTGATCGATTTCGATTGGATGACATTCGCCTATTGGGTCTGATGATGATTGGAGTGTCCAATCGAAATCAATCACCACGTACCATATTTTTTGTATATTTACCGTCTTGTGAATAACAGTATAAGCGTAAATATATGTTTTAAGCGTTATAAGACGTTTCTTTTATTTACTTTTCGAATAAATTGTGATAGGTGTGTCATACGATTTATTTAGTGTGATCGGTGTTGGGGTATACTAAACACTTTTCAAACTGTTTGGCTTTGAAATCACTTTTAGAAGGCAACAATTTCTTCTCTTAAAATACTCACTCTCTATACTCACTACTTAACTCACTCTGATAACAGTCTTGGTCTTATGTAACCACGACTTATCAAAACAATAAATCTTAACGTTAAATTTGTTTTGGAGCCATTGTCTTATCGGGGTTTTATTGCGATTAACGTTTTGGTGGTTTATATAAATCAATACATACGTCAGTAATGTGAATATTAGTAGACGCCTCTAAATGATTTAACTTGCTGGTTTAAAAATAATCTCTATATAAACCTACAACGTTATCTGCGTCGTCTGCGTAGTGCATGTGTCTATAATTCTGGCGTGACCGTTTTACCAGAAATTCATGTGAAAATGTCACCTCATATTGAATAAGTATGTATACCGGTATCTAAATAAAAGGACAAGGAAAGCAGCCTGAATGAGTTTAATCTTCGTGAATAGGCTTCCACGGTCGTCCCTCATAATACACAATCTTGGAAGTTATTGGTCTTCGGGGGAAACGGAGCGAGTGCCGTTCTATATTCTTTGTCGTGGAGGTTATAAACTGTCAAAACCGTCGGATAGGCCTGAGTGCCGTTTCACTCCACAGAGCGTAGGAGTAATTCAGGGGAAGTGTATTAGTGGAAATGGGTATAGTGGGCAGGATGTAACTGAGAACGGGTACAGTTTCTTAACTGGGCTACCCTATTATCGATTGAAAATAACTATCGATTTGACTAGTAAGCCTTCATTCAATTAT